AACAGAAAGGCAGGGAGAGAAAGAGGGGGGAGAAAGGGAAAGAGAGACAGAGATTGATTGGCTGATTGATTGATTGAGGGAGACAGAGAAAACATGTTAAGATAAAACAGTCTTATCTATTAGAGAAGAAAGGAAAAGCAGAAACACTACTATATTGGGTTAGTTAGAAACGTAAAGTTCACTATTTAAGGTTTCAGATAGCAAGGAAATAGTGTATTTCTGAGAAGATTTTCTGAAACTAGCCAGCTTTTAGGTGTAATTAGGGAAATATTAATGCCACACGCTACATAGATCATTTAATTCAGTAGTTAAGGGTCCAAGCTCGAGAGTTATGCTACCCAAATTGGAATCCTAGCTCTATCAATGATGAGCAGGGAAACTTAGGACAACCAGCTTAAAGGCTTCTGTCCATTCCTTCATTGGTAATATGGCATTGATTAAAAAAATAATTCTTGGTGGGACTACAGTGAAAATTAAATGAGCCTCTATTCCCAAAGTAATGTAAAACCCTGCTTCATGCATTATCAGTGGTCAATATACGTGCTGTAAGAAAATAAATGAACCTAGGAAATTTAATTCTTCATCTTCTTCAAGCAAGGAACTTGGCAGTTATCCTAGAATCTGATCTCTGTCTCTCCCTCTCCCCCTCCTTCACACACACACACACACACACACACACACACACACACACACACACACACCCCATTTACCAACTATTGCCAAGCTCTACCAAGTCTCCCCTGAAGTAGTTTTGAATGATGTGCCCCCTCTCCACCGGCAATCTCTCTGCCCCAGTTCAGACTCCCAGCATCTCATGGAAGACCATGAGAACTCTCCTGGGTACTGTCTCCATCACCCATGCCTGAGTGATGGCTGTAGACCATAACATTCTTCACAGTTCTCTATCACACCAGTGAAGTTCCCACCCCAACTCCCTGCCTTTAAGCAGAGTAATTTCCAAATCTTGTGCAATGGTCTGATCCTTGCCTGTGCTCCCTGTCCTACACTCAGGTCCTCTTGGCTGCAGGCACTCCAAAATACTCTTTGATCCCCACACTCTCCAGAGTGTCTCCTGCTTTCACCACTTAGGTCTTTGATTCTTGTCTTCTGCCCTCCTCACTTTGAAAGCTCAACTTCATTGAGAGGCTTCACCAAGCCCAGAGGAGCCACTTAGGGACTTTCTGTTGGCCCCTGTGGTCCCTTTATCATAGTGAATACATGCACATAGTTACATCCCACCACCCAGCTTTGCCAGTGGCTGTACTGCTGCTGCCATGTCACCTTTAGTTTGGGTTCCAATATGCAAAGCCACGCCTGGTCTACAGGAGATACTCAGTACGCATTCACTAAATGACTACTTGAATGCAAGAATAGCTGTATGAATGTGTCATCCACAACCAGGAAGGATGTTTATCATAGAATTAATTCTCACTTTGCTAAGTTACTAGCATGGTACCAAGTACACACATGAAGAAAAAACTGCATGGCCCAGGTCACTTCAAAGTTTTATTTCTTAAATAGGTTGTAGCAAATATATCTGAGCAGACTTTAATGCACTAAAAATAATAAGTAAATTAGAGTTTAATTCTCATATTAAAGTGCCCTTAGATACTTGAGAAAATTCTTGGAAAACAGATCTAAAAGATAAGTTTATTATGTGAAAAACTGAAACCCATGCATACAAGAGATCTTCAAAACATTCATAGAAAACACATATTATGCAAAAACCATGCATGTATTTCAAACTGTTTTTGCCCTAAAATAAACTTACATTTAAATTCTAGTTTTCTGTGAATGTTTTGAAGCACCCTCACTATTATACTTCAAGTTAAGGAGGGGGCGAAATATGGAGGCACACAGAAGCTAGTACCACAAAGGGAAGTGCAGGGAGTGCAGCTGGCACCACCAGAAGGCTTTGTGACTTCAAATCTTTACAGGTTGGCAGCAGGGTAAGGCATCTACTACCCACCTTGCATAGGGCAGGGACCCTGCTGGGAACCGGCAAGCAAACGAACAAATTGCCAAGTCAGGGTGGGGATCCAATACCAACCTGCCCATGGGTATTACGTCTGCCTTTGGCATCCTTCCCACCTGCTGCCAGCTCAAGTAACTCATCAGGCAAGGAGTGGGAAGAGGAAAATAAAACCTATCAGGGAGGAGAAACGGGAAAATATGGATGAGGGATGTTTCTAAGCATACTAGTCAGCAACTTCAAAAGTAGCTTCTCATTAAAACATCCCCTCCACCACACATGAAGTCAGAAACATTGATCATCAAAGATCAGGAGTTCTTCCACCTAAACCATTTCCTCTTAAGAAGTAAGAGCTAATCCTTTCCTTTGACACTCAAGTTTTTATGTCAAGGATAAAACACATCTTCATTAAAATTCAGCCAATTACAAATTCCTAGAAATTGTCTACTTTTGTGGACTGACACATTAAAAACAAACTATGGAACTTACTGGATTTTTTTTAAAGGCAGATTAAATGTGAAGTCAATGTTAAGTCCATATATGTGTTTTGATGATTATAAAATGAACTTAATATTCCATACCATATCACGCAATCCAGAAAGAGTCATCTTGGGCTTGCTCAAGCCTGAATTGCAGAAATTCTGAGGATCAAATTCCTTATTCAAATATTAAACATCTTTTGCCTGACAGTATAAAACAGGATCTTAGACACTTTGCAAGCTTTTTAAATTTTCTGATCTTTACTAGAGTATTTCCTAGTACATTTATGTAGTTGGAAGACCTTAGAGGATATTTCTGGCAATGAATAGAGCAACGTAATAACCCACCAAATATTTTAAAATCCCTTTTAAAATTGCTATGAGATCCACAATATGGAACAAAGTAGCCTACAAACCTTATATAGTTGGGAAAAAGTAGGCAAAAAGAAACTCGAAAGATTTCACTTTGAAGGGAATAAGGGCTACGTATGCTATGCCACTAAGTGAAATTCTAGACTGTATATCAACTAATTTCCTCTTAGTTTCGTGCATTAAAAGCGGTTCATGAAATATTCTGATTATATTTTATCTTCCATAATAATCATACATGGTATCTTTGATAGAGATTACATGCATTACAGGTATTTTGAGTTGGTAAGTACATCCACAACAAAAGTGTACTTCATGTGCCACTTTCTGGATGTGCTCTGTGAATATCCTGAGACCAAGATATTTAAATCTACTTGCACACTTAAAATACTGACATTTCTCCATGTTCCCTCCTAGGTGTTAAAAGATTTATATTGGACAGACGCTTTTATAACAAAGAAGTTGGGTCCACAAAGCATTTTTGTCAGCTCAATCAGACCGGAAACTCCTTTTGCCTCACCCCTTTCCCTCTTTTGCTTCCAAGAGAAACAGGACTCTGCTCAAGAGTGCAGCCTGGCTGGTGACTCGTTACATACAATAGCCACGTCAATGATGACTTCATACCTGGATGCACAAATCAGTCTCTTCTGGAAGGGTGGGGGAGGTACAGATGCATGCAGAGGAGCCAAGAGATGCTGACCTGCCAGCTCATATACCTCACGTAATGAGACCAGCAAAGGATGACAACGCTGTAACAAGCCCACTGTGCAAGGCTTCACAATATGCCCGTCTGCAGTTTCTTGGCCTAACTTTACACTTTAATGAAAATGGATTCAAGAAGTGTATTTACAGGATCACAGAATGGGGGAAACTTTCTACATTTAACGTATTGCAGCACAGCACAATTGCAGATCTCCACACTCCGTCTCCTAGAGTCTGCTCAAGGAACCAAAAGCAGAGATGCCTCTGCTAACAAATCCCCAACCCGGAAGAAAATGGCAAAGGTACCAAACCCAGTCACGGTCACTCCAAGGGAAAGGTGTGGGGTGTCAATGAAACCTGCATTGTCAATTAGAAAGCCTGTGCACTGATGGCCAGACCAAATTGTGAGTATCTTTCCCTTGGGAATTCTCACAAAGACACATAAAAATGCTTTATGAGCTGACTTCCTCATTCAGATCACTGAGTTGTAGTGCGTTTTTATTCAATGTCATGGAGGAAAAGTGTATCAGAGCCAGATTCCCCATGGGGTACCCAGGAGTCATTTTTAAGGGTAAAGCCATCAAACACCTAGAAAGTATTTTTCAGCTGTCATAAAATACCACTGACCTAGAGTGTTCTTCCTCTCGGCACACCGCCTCCCCCACTCAGCCTCCACCGCATTGGAATATCAGTAGGGGAATCATCAGTGCCCAAGCTTTGATTTTAAGCAGGCAGTGTTGAAAGCTGCAGGTCCCAGCCTTGCCACGGAATTCCTGCATTTAGGAAAATCACTCTCACCGAGCATGGAAAAAACAACCCTCCTGGGTTGTAGCCTTCCCCACCCCTCCTTTTTTCTTAACCTAGTAAAAGTTGTTTCTAGTGGCTTACTTCCACTGTATCATGAAACTAAAAACACTTTAAATAAAATAGGAGGCAAAGGAAAAGAAAGAGCAAGAAAAGCAAAGCAGGAAATGACTTTTACTGCTACATCTTAAGGTCACAGATCTGCCTGAGCAACGCACACATGTGATACAGTTCTAGCACAAAAGCTGTTTTTCCACGAGACAGCCCTCCTAGAAGTACAAAAGATGCCTTCTCTGGCCTCTGCCTTGAACCGAAGTCACGCTGGTCCATTTAACCTTGACCAGGCTCTGGAGAGAAAAGTACCTTGAACTCCTTCACAACACCTTTCTGTGCCATGGAAGCCTGCCCTGCCTATGTCAAGTGCAGCACACCTTCCGCAGAGCCCCGCATCACCCAGCCCACAGGAGAAAACCTCTCCTGGCCTTCCCCCTCTCATGGCTGGGGTCTGCCTTAAGGGTTCTATCATCTGTTCGCAATTTACACACCCAATTCACACCTCACATGGCATGTGAAAAGGGGCTTGAATGTACCCCTTATGCCAGGAGCAGACTAAAATTTAAAAAAAAAAAAAAAGAAGAATTTAGGCAAGACATATGCCCTGCATGCACAGCTACCTTTTTCTTCCGATCCCGGGACCGTTTGCGGTGTTTCTTTTTCTTCTCAGTCTCTTCTTCAGCATTGATTTCTAAATCCCTGTTCTTCTTTAGTTGTGAGGCTGCATGAGCCATAATGCATTAAAAAAGATGCTCAAGCACGAAGGGCTTCCTTGTCCAAGGTGATATCCTCAGGCACCTTTAATCAGGCGTCCAGCAGCATTCCGATCACTGGAGAGGGAAGGCTCCGACTTGAAGCAGGAAGACATTCAAAACGCCAAGATGCTGGAGGAGCTGAGGCTTTTAGAAACCAAGAGGACGGGGTCCAGACTTCATCCTGCACCTTCCTCTACCTGCACCTCTGTCGGAGAGCGCAGCCATCGTAATGCATTTACTGTAGTGAAGACAGCTGGGACCGGGGAAGCTCTGTTATGGCTGGATCCCCAGCCACCAGCTGGAAGTGTCTAAGTGACTCCTCGGAAGGGGGACTGCTGCAAAGGATGCTTCTCCGGAGGGAGAAAATCAAGAGTCACCACACAGGCAGAAGCAAAAATCCAGCGCTAATTCTGAAAACCTATTTTAGAATCCTTTGACAAAAAAGAAAGGGCTGCAATTTATACATCACCACTAGATCTGCACGGAGCATAATTTAACCCGTGGTTAGAATGGAGCAGCTCCTACTTTGGTTCAACTGCTGATGGTGACAAAATATATAAAAGAAGATTTCAGAAAAACACACTAGATTTTGCTACGGAGATCTTGACTGCATTATGTGGGAAAACAATGCATGCCTTGCCGCTCTCAACAGGGCATCCTTTATGCTGAGCGCTGAGGCTAAATGCATTTTGTGGAGAGGACTACAGAAGAGCTGGTTGTCTTTTACAAACAGCATGCTGATTACAACACATCACACAGAAAGACGTGAGCGTGTTGGTGCACAGAACAGATGTCTGATTCATGGGAGGTTCCCCAGGACTCTGCTCTCATGTGGTCTGCAGGGCAGAGAATGGCTGAAATGCAGATTGGGCTTTCAGATGAGGGTTTGCTTCAATCACCTTACTATTTTTGCCACCTGAGTCCTCAGTGACTGCAGCCTCTGAATATTCATGATGTGAAGTGAAGCTGCAGCCAGCCACAATGCTCAGGCCTGCTGGGGTCTTCTGTGAGGACGCACATGGTGGAAGAAATCTAAGTGGGAGATTATTCACACACGCAGGGTTTATAGTACTGGCTAAAGCCAGGAACTGCTGAAATGATAGACTGGGCCTAAGATACTTGGGTGGTGGTAAGAAACCCTAATTTCAGCAACAAAGATGAGCAGACAAAAATATAAGCCCATGATTTACTGTTGGAAAGATTTAATGTTTGTGCTTCTCATACTAACGTCTAACTTTGGAGGTCAGTGTACTTGACTTAGGAGTGCTGACCCCTGTGGTTTGTAAAAGATGGAGCACAAAGCCCAGCGAAGGCTACAAGGGTCCAGGTGGGGTTCTCTGGGGTCGTTCTTCAGTCCCAAGTGTGGGCTCTGGCCAAAAACGTCTTCTCTTTTTTTTCTGATTTGGAAATTAAAGGTATTTTCTTCTTTGTGGTATGCTTTACAATATCTGCTAGGTAGAGATGGAAAATGACCAGGGAGATTCATAGACTGTGGTGTTACCTTCCTCCCACTAACGGTCCTGATACTGTGAACCACATAATAAAACCCTCAGGAACCATGGTGCCCAAGGGCCTACTATGTGTATCGATGCTCGTGTGTGTATGTTCTAGACAAGCTCCCTCCATGAAGAGTTTCAGAAAGTTTTCCCACTGGCTACCAGGCAGAGGGGGAATTGGGGTGGGATAAAAGATGGAGAGCTAAAGATGACTCAGATCCAAAAGCTGACAAATCACATTTAGGTCTTTATAGGAAAATAAGTTTGCTTTTGCTTTTTTTTTCCGCCCCCCATCATTACTTTGAACCATAATAATAACAAGCAGTACAGGGAAAAGAACAAATTAGAACTTTCACATGCTTCTCCCTGCACAAATCATCGTGTGCTTTTGAGGAACATTCATCCAATTTCCCTTCCTAGTTTTCAACAAGTTGAAGAGGGCAGCCAGCTAAAACACTGGCTGGTTTCCCTCTGGCTCTGGGACATTCTTTTTTTCTTGGTTTATAGATGCTAATTATACTTTAAAAATACATCTATGAGTACTCTCAAGTCAAGGTAACTTCTCCATCAGAGGCTGGCAAAGCACTGTTTCCCCATGGATCTCTATCAGACACGCAAAGACAGAAAGGTGGAAAGTAAGCCCAGGTATATTTCAATGGGTTTCTAATTGTTTCCTCAAAATGTCTAGACATTCATAGTGCATCATGACGTTTATGATGTCATTGTGTGATTTTTTTCCTTGCCTTGGATTTTCTCCTATTTCAGCAAGTGGGTAGGTTATCAAAAATAAATTCTAACTCAGAGTATGCTTAGATTTCTTTCTTGCAGATAATGTGGGGTTTCTCTCCCATTTCTAACAAAACTAAAACTTCAATCAGTAACTACCAAGAAAAGGAGCCCTGCTAGGTAACAGACTTCAGTTGTCATGTTACCAAAGGGATGGAACCTTCATCCCTACCCACACACATCTCCACAAGTTACTCTCAAACTCCTTATGTAGTTAATCTCAACACAAAGGCATTAACTCAACAGAGACAGGAATGCTAGTTCCCCACTGCCCTCAAATTGAACTGACAGTTCTGTTAATAATTCTAGAAACTGAATCCTTATAATAGTTGAAGCCTAAACATAGAAATTTAAAATTTGATGGGATGTGGAGCAGACTGGACTAGTTTGCTGCACATACTGGCAAACCAGGGTAGGGCCAGGCCTGATGGGGGTTACTGTGAATTGCTCTGACTGAGTTGCAGCTCCCACTGGCTTATGTGAGGGCCGAGTATGTGCTGGGCAGAACCAGCAACACCCATTGGTTCTAGTGCAAGTTGGGGCTGAAAACAGAACCAACCCAGCAAGTGCAACCACCAGCTGATCGGGGCAATGGATCGTGCTGGGCCTTGTACTTGCTAGTACATACAAGAATCTGGTCTGGGAACACCTCAAAGTTTCTTTGGGGATCTCCCCAATCAAAATGGTGAACTCAGAACCCTAACCAAGAAAAGACGGAAGACAGAACAGGTCAATCAACTACCTCAGCTATATATTGGCAGCGAAATACTGGACAAATGGAGACTCTATGATGGACTATGTCAATCAGTGGATTCTTCAACGACCTCATCGTGCTTGGAGTGGTGAGATTGGCAGCGATTCATAACTGGTGAACTATCAAAATCACTTGAGCAAGTATCTCAGAGCATGCGCCACATCCAGGACCTGGGGTGGGTGGGAAACTGGGTCGGGTTTCTCCCTCAATATTCCCTTGATCTCACATATATATATATAGGAAATAATATGAAAATAATAGTCTTATCCACTTTCCTATAACCCTTGTACCATTTTACCCTATGTAAAGATTGTCAAAAATATAATAAAAAGAAAAAAAAAGAAAAATGGGTAAAAATGCCCATGCAATATTATATTACATTTAAACTAGCATAAAATTTTATTAACATTGCAGTTAATAAAAATCAATAAAATATTGTTTCATTTAAAAAAAGAAATTTAAAATTTGATTCTTGGACTACAGTGTTACCAAGCTTTTCCATTTGAAACTCAAATTCTCTTCTGGGAAAATACAGTTAGTATGAATATTCAAAGTAAAACTGATTGGCTGCTACAGGGTTCTGGTTCAGAGCAAGTGGCAGGTCCCTCCCCAACAACAAGAAGAGGATACAGACACCACACAATATGAAATAATAACACAAGGCTGAATCAGTCAATGGTCATTCATGTGGGGAATAACTTCTCTAATCCTATGTGCTGCCACTGGTCATAGGTGTGTAACAGACAGAATTTGCACAGGTTGAAGATGGGCTAAGCATGGAACATTGAAGCTACTGCAAGTACAGAAATAATAATTCCTATGGGTTATTTCCTTTAAGAAAATAAATATCTAGGATGGGTATTTGGCTTAGTAGTTAGGACACTAAGTTTACATCCCCCATGGGAGTACTTGAGTTAATACCTAATGCTGGCCGTTGCAGTCACTTGGGGAGTGAATCATCGGACGCAAGATCTTCCTCTCTGTCTCTCCTCTATGTATATCTGACTTCGCAAAAAAAATAAATAAATCGGGCCCGGCGCGGTGGCGCAAGTGGTTAAAGGTCCTCGCCTAGCATGCCCGGGATCCCATATGGGCACCGGTTCTAATCCCGGCAGCCCCGCTTCCCTTCCAGCTCCCTGCCTGTGGCCCGGGAAAGCAGTCGAGGACAGCCCAAAGCTTTGGGAACCTGCACCCTGTGGGAGACCTGGAAGAGGCTCCTGGCTTCGGATCGGCATAGTATCGACCCGTTGCGCTCACTTGGGGAGTGAATCATCGGACGGAAGATCTTCCTCTCTGTCTCTCCTCTCTGTATATCCGCCTTTCCAATGAAAAAATAATAAAAATAAATCTTTAAAAAATAAATAAATAAATAAATCTTTATGAAAAAAACCAACTTTCTTAAAAAAAAATACAGGAGACAAGAGTGATCCTTCAAATTCTTGGTAGCTGAAAAAGGACTGTTGCTGAGTCCTATAGGAAGGGAGTTCTAATCAATACCACAGTGGAGCTTCTTGGCTGACATGAAGAAGATGTGTCCAGTTCTGTGGCTCCCCCACTTCCTCCAGGGGCAGAGCTGCTGAGCACAATTAGGCAACTAGCACAGTCAGCCAGTTGGACCCAGGTGATTCTATGCTTGTCCCTTTGTTATTAGAAGCTATGGGAAACAGCAAATCTAATTGAAACGTTTCCCAACATTCTGTCTGAAAGAATTATTGGTTTCTTGCCAGATCTGATGCTTTATCTTGAGTATTTATCCTATCTATATTTTATTAGAACTTGAAGCCACCATCCCCAAAAAAAGGTTTAAAAAAATCACCACTTTCCAGTTTGGAGTCAATTTATATCCCATAGAACTGAAAGAAAGTTGTGACTCAATATGCCATTAACAATAAAACCAAATCAGTTCACTGGAAAGTTTCACCAACTTTAGACAACCCTGGCAG